TCTCCCCCACCTCCCCGTCCCCACAGACGGAAGCAAGCAGCTCTGCAGCCCCAAGAACTTACTCGCCAGGAGCATTTCTTTCCCGACCTTGAGCTACCAGAGTATTCGTGGTATATTCATCAGTCATACGCCAAAATCTACACATTGGCCAAAGCTAGAAGTTATTAATGTAATTTCAGCTTTGAGGAGGAAATCAGCAGAAATGAATGCAGTGGACTTTCTAATTCTAAAGCATTCTTTTCATTAATTAGTATGGAAGGAATACAAGTTCTTGAAAAATCAATCACATATGCAAAATGCAAAGCTTAGAAATAAACTGCTGAGCTATCAGGCAGCAAGTTAAACTGATCAAAAATGCAATAAATCCATTGATGCTGGATCAAAATATCTACCCTTTTTTTCAAAAATACAATGCCAAATGCAATAGTGGAATTACTGTAAATTTGTGCTATTACAAATGTGCTTCTTTTTCCTTGCTCTGTTTTTACATCATTGGCAAAATATATTATTCTGTACTGTACAATATATTTTCTCGCTATATTGATTTTCTACTGCCTATACAGAGTAGAATTAATATCAAAGGGGACTGTGGCATTAAATTTAATTATATTTTGTCTTGCAGGAAATATTGATAAGGCATATGATAATCAGTATGTGACATTTATGGTCAGACTGTGCAAATCCTGACTCTCGGAGAAGAGAGTAACGAACACTGTGTCCAGCAGCGGGTGGCTGTAAGGTCTAGTCCAGATAGCAGCTCCCTGGGAAGGAATCTGCGGGGCAAGGGCAGCTGAGACCAAGCCAGCGCGACGCCCAGCTTCACCGCTTTCGAAGGAATGAAAGGATGACACGCTCTTAGGAACGTTTTTAAATGATTTCTACCTTCTCCCCAAATTTTCTACGCGGATTCAATGACAATATTTCTCGTGACTTCTTAAATGGATTCCACAAGTAATGAAAGAGATCTTAACACTAAGTAGCATTTTCAGCTCCTTCTCCAATTTCTTACATATATTCTACGTCATTAAAATGTCCCTGTATTATTAAAGACATACTTTAATTTTTCTATGTAAAATAAATTGAACAACAATCTAGCAAAAGTTATTCAAATGACGACTCCTCTTTTGGCATCATTTTAGAGATGGTGGGAGCTTAGTTCCCCCGAAGTTAACACTGGCTACATGACGGTATCTTGCAGTCCTGCTACTCTTTGTAGAACCACCACCTGAGGGACTGAGGGGTGCAACAAAACACATGGCAGCAGAACCTAATGTATCCAACTGGGTTAATATAACCCTATTTTAAAATACAGATTTTTAGGAGCAAACCCAGATTTTTATGAATGGTATTTTACAAAATACGCATCTAGTTTTTTCATTTGTGGCCCCACTGATTTTTGCTTAAAAAAATACGAAGACCAGGAATCGAGGGCAGGCTTCAGAAGCACCGAACTTGTAAAATAAAATATAGCAGAGGACACATTTAATCAATTCTGAAAGGAAAAAAATGACTAACAAAAGCCCTAACTTACCCAAATCAGTACACCATAAGGTAATAATATTGGCAATACTATTTTGAGAATGGTAGTGACAGTAAAGATAGGCGATTCTGGGACGTTTCAGAGAAGCCTACGGTACTATGAGCAAGCTGAACTCAGAAGATCTGCGGTCAAACCGAAGTTACGGGCCTACGCACATCCAGAGGGACTCCCGTCATCTTGTTACTCCCACATCTACCTTTCCTCCTCTTTGTAACTGTCACTCTTCGGTACGTATTAAACTTTACTTTAGAAGACTAACCCCCAAATGCCAACTTCAGAAGCAGCTTTCAAACCTGGCGCAAACGCAGCGAAACGTTTTTCTGTGTGGAGCAAACCCAGCTCTAACCGCGTGAGTGCCACCAGCGGCAACCGCCCCGCCGCCTCCAGCCCCAAGCACGCTTCATTTCTCGAGGTCAAAACCCAGCCGAGCGCCCGGCGGCCGGGCAGCGGTGTGATCGGCACGGGAGAACAGCACCCGCGTCCGAAACTGCGCGCGCTTGTCGAGTACGACAGCGGGGGCACCACCCGATTTCCACGGCAAGATGATTTTTCAGGGTAACGTCTAGGTGTGGGGCCATACCGCACCATCAGTTCTCAGGCAGAGGAACCGATTTTCAGCAGACTGACCTGTTTAGAAAGCGATCATCTACTTTAGCCCGCTGTCGATAAACTAAAATTTGATCTAGAACAGCTTCAGGTGCATTGCTTTGAACTTAATTTCATAATATACTCGGTTAGAAAACAAATGTAGTCAGCTGTGAATTGCACTTCCCATGGGATAAATGTTCATCTATGAAACTAGTAAAAGAACCTGTACATCTGTTAAATACAACTTGCCAAAGAGAAAGCATTTTTAATTAAAAGTTTAACAATTAGTTGTCTTTAAAGTGGTTTCGGGATTTTTAAAATACTTTGTTAATTCATTCACAAACCTATGAATGCACTGACAGATATTGCCTGCAGAGACTGAGATTGTTGTTACCGCCTTTATTGGCTAAACTGTCATTCATCCAAAAGCATCCCAATGAAAAACTCAGATAACAACAACATCACTTTCAAAAAATCTATGTTTTATAAACATTTCTAAAATCCTCTGTATAAACCAGAGCTTAGGAGCAGAACTCTGACCTTTAATAATATTTAAGAACAAGAAGAATTGGTACGAGGACTGGAAAATTAGCCTTACTTGTATTCATTCAGGAATACATGAACTTCACAATTTCACGTAGCGCCATTGCAGAATAAATCTCAGTACAGCTGGCTAGCACTGCTGAAGTTCTACTACAAATACTATGAGTTAACATGTCCTCACCAACACCGCAGCTTTTACTGATTACCCTGTTTCCTAAAAATAATTTACTTTTTAAAATAGAGTTCCCACAGCTTGTATCTAGAATAAATTAGTAATCTATTAGCATGTTCAGTATATTTGTACTTAAAGATATATCTGTCTTCAGAGAATAAAAAAATGCAGCAAGCAAGGAGACCTGCTGGATCGCTTATAACTGGTTTCTAACGTTAAAATGGAATGGGCAGTGGGAGAGGAGAGGGTAAACTAATGACACACAGTAGTAAAGTAAACGTAAACCCACGTAGTAAAGGAACTCCGTGTGTCCTTTCAAGACCATGCATGACTTCCCTCACAAGCTCGTTTTTGTTAGGACAAACGCAGTCGTTTTGGCACTTCAGACGCTGCAGGTGATGGAATTTGTGCACGTGTTGTGTAGATCTTTCCCTTCACTAGCATGACATGGAAGACTTCAAAACAAGGCTCTGAAAGGCTCTAGAAATAAATGACATTTTTGTCTAGGAAATGATAAAGCAGTAACCTCGTTTACTAGAAAATATATGCAGGTGCTTCACAGCTACCTGCCGTTAAAATGCAAATATCTTCAAGCAGTTAAATGATCTGATCCCTAATGCTACTACAGAATAAACAGCTGTCTACTCTAGGTTTATACATCTCAGTGCATCCTTCGCAATTAATACTTTAATGCACACAAACAAGAAACTTATTAAAGCTTATAGAAAAAAATGTTTTGCCTAATGCCTTCTTCCTCATGCAGGTATGTGTGCTGTACATGTGACAAAGGCTTGTAAAAATCACGGGAGAACGCTCCGCTGCGCTATCGCAGGAAACGTTCGAGAAGGCAGCTGAGGCTCCCATCCCCAGACCAGATCTTGCTGTGCTTTCTCCACCTGAATGCTCTTTTGGCATCTGCAGGCATTCAGCTGGAGGAAATCGAGCAGGATCAGGTCTGTCACACCCACTCTTAACTCCGTTACTCCAAGGGATGCAGATGTTTTCTTTTTTTTCTGGGTAACTGGCCCACTCGAATCATCTAGTGGTGCTGAAGGCTGCCTCTTAGGCACTGAAGTTGTTTAAAAAATTAATGGTGCATCCGCAATCTTTTAATGTGGCTGGAAATGCACGTCGCTTTCTGGTTGTACCAGGTATGAGATGAATTACTCCTCCCGTTGTTAACATCAAGAAGATAACCAGACTCAACGGCGGCGGAAAATACCAGTGATCTTTGCTAACTGGTCGAGAAAGTAGAAGAACCCGTAATATTCAGGAAATTCATTTGGTGCCACATGCTTTTACAGCCTACTTTTAGCAAGCTTTGGGAAGAAAATACACAAATATAAAAGTTAATGATCCTCATTTTTGAAAAAACAGTTGTGACACGAATCTGCATGAAGTAATGCACGTTCAGCACAGGCCTGTCAATCTGAGCAGCGTGCAGCGGGGCGTTTCAGGGGTCTCTGCTGAAAGACATTGGTGGCTTGTACAGAACAGTCACTTATGGGGAAGTTTTCAATCGCGTTGGCTCTAAGGCTTCTCCGATCGTGTACGACAGAAGGTCCAGTCACAGGAATTCGTCTGTTCAAAGAAACTGAAGACTCAGGAGGTGAAAAGACGTGACTGTTAGGAAGTAAGGCAGCAACATCCCCCAAGATTTATCATAGTTCTGGCAATCAAAAATGGGAGCTCTGCAACTTTACTGTGAGCGCATTTTTTTCTGATGTGTATTGCAAGCTAATTCTGACCAACATGTTATTTTAAGTGTTCATAATTTATGAATATTAAACCCTGCCCCCCTCCCTCCAATTTCATTACTGAAATTGAAACTGAATTTCTGGAGAGTTCTTGCGCAATGCTGGAATTTTCAGACATTCAAAGATGGATTTTGAAAGATGTGAGGGACGGGCAGGTACTCAGAGGTACTGGAATGTAGGTACTCTACCCACGGGGTATGAGGACTGTATCATTTTCCATTTAAAAAAGCAGAATAATAGAAATGGGAGAAAAAACATTACATGTCTATACACGAATGTTCCATTTTGGGACTACTAGCTGTGTTCAGGTAAACGAGAGAGGGGATAAAAAAAAAAAGACTACTCTCAACCTGTAACCACACAAACCGTTCTGCAGTTTTGTTCATTTTCCTGCTTCCATTTCCCCTTATCCTGTCAGAGTTCATCATTGCTGACCGCAACAAAAATGTCAGTACTGGCTAAACGAAAGAAATCATTTTGCTGCAACATTCATGCCAGGTCTAAAAATAATTTCAAACTGGAAAGTATTTTGTAACTGCTGCAATAATTTGTGATATTTGGCACTCTCAATAGTTTACTTTTGGTTTGTCTGAACAAGCCATTCTGGAAATAAGTAGCTAGAATAAATTCTTTTATTCTAACTTTAAACGTAAATTGAGCTTCCAGCAAACAAATACTGTAGCTGGCTTTCTGGCTTCCAGTGATTTGTAATTTTCAGATTTTTCGTTTGTATTTTTTTTCAATTGATTGCAACATGCTCAAGTCGACTTTCCAGTCAATTCACCCAAATTCCAACAGGAATTGGTTTATAAATTGGTTCCAACTGGAACTGGTCATTTGGAATTTCCAGCACAGGAAATTATTTTATAAGTGCCTTGATAAGTACCCTAAATGACAAACGAATGTGTCTAGTATCTAATGACAAGAAAAAGTATGGCTATAGATGCAAATGCTGTACTAAAAAAAAAAAACCCAACAAATAAACCAACCTATATGATCGGGCATAAACGTAAGGGCATGGTAACTTGTTTTTGCCCCCTACTTAACATCAAATGACAGCAGAGTGCAACTTCAGTATAACCGCGTTACATCTGCCAAATTAAGATGATTCTTTTTTCCTAGCTACAGTATGGCAAGGTATCAACTGATGAATAAATACTACTTTCCCCCAGGTTCTTGGGCTCAAAGCCTGTGTCGCGACTCCTGGCTGTATCCTCCGGGGGATCCTCGGTTCCTGGGGGGTTTGTAAGGGTCCTGGTATGAGTCAGAGTATTCTTCTTCCACTAGAGGATAGTGATCTCGGCTGTGTTGGGAACTGGAAGACAAGCTCTTCCGAGCCCTTTCATTGTGATAATTTTCATCTGAGGTCATTAGACTTCGTCGCTCAATGGGAGAGTTCTCGGTAGCATGGCTGCTGTGCCTCATACGCTGGCTCTACGAGTGCCAAACAATCCAAGCGTTAATACAGACACAGATACGTCACATCTGTCAGCTTGTTTTGAGACTTATTCTGAGGGCTTTCAGAATCCATCCACTTTTGTGTTATTCATTTTATCTTAAAGCCTGTATGCTACAGGAATGGGTTACGACAACAGCCTGGTTCCTAGAGCTGAAAGCAGACCAAAGGCAGTATTGCACCGTGTACCTCGTGGTATTCACCTTGTTCAACATTACAGGCCCTTTAGCATGAAAAGTGAGCTGATGTATTCAGCATTTATCACTTTTCTCTGATCATGAACATAACATTCATGCTTCTACTCTGCTTAGAAAATTTTGAGCACTGATTTACGTGGTTTTAGAAAACATCTGAAGACGTTTGTTGGTTTGGTTTTTTTAAAGGTGCAGTTCTGACCCCTGTTTAAAAACCTGCATATGACCAAACAAATGATGGACTGCTCACCAGGCAGCTAAGGGGCGGCTAAAATGAACAGATATTAACAAATTCTTTCAACTAAAAGATAATAAATATTTTAAAAATGTTGACAGAAAATAATTTTCTAAGATAATTTATTAATTAAAAGGTTTAGCCTTTGCTATCCTCACGTTCCCATAATGATAATGTGCTACATTCATCATATGAACAAAATTAGCTCACTTTTTTTTTTTGCCAGAGCGAAGAAATAGCCTGAAAAAACCTATTTTGTTTGCTGTCATCACACATGAAACCTCTGAAGAGCACAGCCACCCCTACGCTCAGAGCAAACTCGGTCAGTGCTTTTCCTTCTCTGGATTACACACCCCGCGTCCTTCTTCTGAGCCTGTACCTGCCAGGAGAACGCTGCCGCCACGGCTGCGCTCCCGGGGCCGCGGGTTCCTGCGCACAGCCAGCACCGTCTGCGCCTCCCGGCTCTTCTGCCTGCTGCTACACCCGCGCTGCACGGCAACCGCTCAGCTGCATAATTGATACCCGAAGGCTCGTCCGCCCGGGGAAGCCGCTGTGCAGACGGGTATAGGCTTACAGCGCAGCAGATACGGTGTCGCATCTCTTTCTGCGGGTCGATGCTGCCAAGGTCACCCACTGAGATCACTTAATCAACTGCATCTTTTAATTTCTATGCTCACTCCCTCCGTCTCCCCTGTCGCGATTTACCTCTCTGGCTGCAGCCTGCTCCCTCCCAGAAGCCTTCCTGCTTCCCTGCCTCGGCTGTGTAAGTCATTCGGATCCCGCTCCCCACCTCCCGAGAGGTGTAAGCGTGGCACAAACCTGGCGCGGTTACACGCTGGTCTGATGCCCCAGATGACTTCTGATCCTGCAGCGCCATCTGAGCGACGAGCTGCATTGCGTTTCGGGCAGTAATGGACTTCAAACGCAAATCCCCTGGCGCCTGAGAAACGTACATCCCCGAAACTCAAACTGCAGGACTGAAGTCCGCTCGCTGAGGCCAGACTACACTCTGGAGGCTTGGAGCTAAGCAGGGGTTAGGTGCAAGGGCGAACCACCGGCCCCTAGGAGTCAGCAATGACAAAATCTACTCTTCCTGTTGAGGACTGCCAACACACCCAGCTCAACACCGACAGCTTCCCCCGTTAGGCAGGGGCAGGACCAAGGGCCAAACGACCGCCGGCACTGGCACGTGCACCGCACACGGTGCGACGGGACGCAGCCGGAGCATGCTGCCGCCCATACCTCCCTTGTTCCCTGACTCTTCTGCACCCATGCCATCCAGCTTCCCCCGATGACCTGCCCGAAGCCCAAGGACTTAAGTTAAATTCTCAGTTCTCAAAGACCGAGAAGTTTCAATTCTCAGGAAACTAGACTCCAAGCCACAGTCGAGTGAGAAAGGGACACTCCCGCATCGTGATTAGGTGAAGGATGTACAGATTGGCTCGGGAAATCTGCATCATTCTCGAGTGCGACTGTCACGCGAGGCTCTGGGCTTCTGGTTTTCAGTTCCCCAAGGTATCGGGCGAGGAGGAGTCACAAGGTCGTAAGAAGTATAAATTCATAACACATCGTAAGCACCTAAGCTAGTTTAACTCCTAGGATCCGTGTGAGTGCTTTATAATTACCACACCACATCACCACAGTTAAAACTGATGCAAATCCCTCCGAAGGCTTGAAGTAGTATCAAACCTCTAGGTGGGTAAGCACTTCAGATGGTGGAAGTCTTTACTGCGAGACAGCCAGGTGAAGCACCAGAACTCTGCCAACGGGCCTGAACGCTTCAGTGGCACTGGGAGCCGCATCCTGCCGTCGCTAGCTGGGCACCCTTCGCTCAGGGAGAAATTTACCCCTCTGCAGAGAACCAGCACCATTCAGGTCCCACCTAAGCCTTCACAATTTGGGTGAAGTGGGGATTAAGTGACGCATACCTTCAGCCAGCCCACTGCACAGGGGTGATTTTCATCTTCAGTGTGAGTTTTCCCTAAGTAAATGGAGCAACATTTCACAGTTACTGCTGGTGTCCATTGATCAGAGAGAAATAAATGCCTGAAAAAAATTCTGTGGATAGACCCAGTTTTCAAAATGAAACTGAAGAGGTGAAAGTTCTGCAGATGGTATTTTATTGTCATGAAGGGATGGAAAACTGAAATTTTAAGGCAAGTGAAAATGGAAACAACAGTTTACATGTGCATGTTACCAGTAACAGAACAGTGCTTGTGCATTCAGCCAGTCAGGACACAGTGACTTACTGATCCTAATAAAACCAAGCACAGCATTAGCAATGTGAGTACCCAGTACCATGCACCTTCAGTGAAGTGCAATCCACTCACAGAAAAAACAGCTTTACGTTAATCGAAATACACTGAACAATGCATCGTTTCCTTCAACACTGTTACCTGCTTCCAGGTACTCTACAAGCAGAACAGAGGTTAAATTTGTCAGGTGAATTATTCATTAAACGTAATTCGCTCAGCTCTGCTTTGGACATATATTAGGAAGTGCACACTCCTAGAAAGCCACACACATACAGAACTCCTGGAACTTTCACGCTTAAAAGTTCGCTGCAATCCTGATCTTCTCAAGCATTCATAACTATTAATCAAAAACATTTTCTGTTTTCAAACTTAGTAAAGCACGTACTTCTCATTAAGGACTATTTACATGCCACGTTTGAAGTTTCAAAGTTCAGCCGTTTTTGAGCTATCCCTGTGGAAAAAAATGGTCAGAATTTTTTTCAATGGGTAAAAGAATGTATTTTATTCACACTCAAAGAACTCAAAAAGGCGAAGGCATTTTGCTGATACAAGAGACAAGCACGGAGGTTTTCCACCCCGAAGGGAATGTTTCGTGACGTTACGAGGGCAGAGATAACAGGGATCGTTACAGACACTGTTCTGCATTCTTGAATACAGTAGCTGTTAGCTCAGCTGCTGGGACACACTGCACAGGCTTTTCTCCATCGGACAGGGTCTCTTTTGCAAGGATATTTTTTCCAGATTAAAAAATAAAAAGCCCGTTTTCTAATATGGCTATAATCCCACTTGACAGAGTGTCATTTAACTCTTCCTCAAGAACTCACTCCTTGCCAGAAAATGTCTGGCCGTTGTACTGCCCGTTCAAGCAGGAGCAGTCCCAGTGCTTCAGCACTCAGCTCGCTAACTGCTTCGTCAGGGATTACGGGCCTGAGCTTGCCTCCTTGCTGCTGGCAGTGGCCAAACAGCGAATAATAACCAAGGAAGCAAGTCATACTATATATAAAACATATTACACTATTTTCCCACAGATGAAAAAAAACCCACCTGATCTGCACTGGTGCGTGGGGCTGAAATGTGTTTTCATACCTGTAATCCAGAGATTGCAGCAGGGTACGGTGAAAGTGCAGTGGATCCTAAATTCCGCCCGAGGAGAGGAGTCATGGGTGTGCTACTGGTGGTGTGGGTAGCACGCCAGTACGCCTCAAGATACTCTGCCAAGTGCTCGCAAGCATCCTCAAGCTGGTTCTCGTCCAAAATCACATCAAACATTTCCTGATCACAACAACAAAGTTTGGTTTGTTACAATATTACAGAGGAAAAGAGAGAGATGTTAAGCAATTCTCATCATGCTAATCCTTTCAAATTCAGTAAATAAGACTCCGAGCACGGGACAGCAAAAGACAGTTGTGCAAGTGGGTTTAAAAGGCGCTCAAACGCCAGAGCTCTCAGAAGCCGCTGAACCCTCTCAGCGCAGTTCACGAGACGTCGCGTGAGCCCTGCCAGGCTCAGAGGCACCAGGCTCCTTTAACCAACTGATTTTGCTCTACGATAGGAACCGTAGATGTCTGAGCAACACAGGGGTGCTCTGCGCTGGTTTCGGACCCAAGGACTCGTGCGTGCTTCCCTCATCCTCACCGCGAACACGTTTCCAGAGTGACGATGCGCCCCTGAAACCGCTCCCGCGCGCGCGGTTCCACTCGCAGCAGTGTTTCTGCTTCAGCGCGGCTACGGCGGGACAGCCAGCTGGGAATTCCTCAGCGACTATCTCCACACCCTGCTTTTGTAACGACCTCCTTTTCTGCCTGTCTGGATAGTCTTAACCTAGCTGCTCCCCAGCCTGCAGGAGCAGGCAGGTGCCGATCTGCTTCCCAGGGACAGTCCCTGAGCGTTGGTGCACGTCCCGGTAGCTGCCTCAGACCTCGCACGGCGCAGCCCACAGACCGGCTATTCGCCAGTGACCGGGGAAGGAATCCACAGCCACGGCGGCTTCTGGGCTGCCTGAGCAGTCCCAGGGACACTCTGCAGACAATGTTTTTAGGGTATCAGCACGACAAGTGCTGGTAAAAAACCATCATCCACCGAGCTCCTCGAGAAAAATAGAAACATATTTTTAGCAGTGAAATTTTCTACCTCATCTTTCATCTTAACTCATGCCTTGGTGGAGAAAAACTACTGTGAAAATAGCCCAGGAAATGAAAAATAAGTGCAGGTGCTGCAGGTGTGAAGAGTAACAGACAGAAACCACAGGCTGCTTTTTCTTCCACGCACATTTAGAGATCTAGCCAATATACATAGGGCTCATGTCTCTAGAATAAAGCATAAAACTGCCCAATTAATTTATCATAAATCTTGATCACGCATCTGCCTTCTGCCCAGAAGTCTGGTCCAGAACTTATTTTAATACTAAAGCCATTTTATTTTTAATTTATTCTCTCCTATCCGCATGGTAGAGCAATGTTTCCTCCTCTGCCAGCAAGTACGGAGTTTTATTCTGACAGGAATACCCCTAACACTACATCCTTTGGTCGAATTCAGTGTTTACCGCTGCGTGTTTTGCTCCTCTATTTATCTCTACCCTTTACACCCTCCTTTGCTACTTAAACACGTGTTGCTACACTACATATCCCATTATATCACTCATCATCGTTTGTGGAAGAAGTTAGTAATCCAACCATAGCTAAGTTAGGAAATAAAATAATGTAGGTTTGCTTGCAGAGACATTGCTTTGGAAAATATTGAAATTAAAATATTAAACTTGGAATACACAGTGCGTGTTTTCTTACACAAAGGATGAATATTGTCACTTCCTGCTCTGAGAGCAGTAAGCAGCTTTCCTGCGCTGCTCACCCTTCGCGTAGCCGGCCACCGGCCGGAGGGCAACCCTGGCTGCCGACACCACCCTCAGCTGTGCGGGCTGCAGGGTAATTCCGTCCCAGGGGGCCTTTTCAGCTGGATGGGGTTTAGCAGCGAGCAGGTCAACGCGCACTCTTCCAACGCCCTCCGGCCTCCTCCTGCTGTTTTTTTTTACCTGGAGCAGCTGATTCAAGAACTGCTGTACTGGCACAACTAAGGGTGCTGCGAGGCGGAGGCGAGGCAGAGACCCGCGACAGGAGGGCCAGCGCTGCTGCCCACGGCTTCCTTTTCAAACGGACCGACAGCTCCACGCGCTGCCAGAGACGCACGGCAAATTCTCCAGCCAGTCTGCCTGCACCACGCGGCCCTGCGACGGCGTGTGGCTTCCCGAGGCGTTCTGACAGTGACCTCAATTAAACCGAGTTTAGGGAAGAAGAACTTTCAACGCTTGCAGAAGAACTGTCACCTTTTTAACACCTAACTGTAAAATAACACCAGGACTGGTAACGGCGAGCCTCGCAGGCTGTCATCTGCAGGTCACCTGGACAAGCTGCCGAACTGGCACGAACCCGATTCCAGGGCTTTGCGGAGTTTCACAGGGAAAACAAATGACACAGAAAGCACTCACGTTTTTTTCCTTGCATTGAAGAGTTCTGCTCATAGCTAAACTGTGTTCTATTTCTATGTATTCAGGAGGAACGACTCTTTCAAGGAGATCCTTGTTTGTAAGGGTCACGGAGGAAAGCAATTTCTTCCCAGTTCTCCTTACAATGCATTTTTTATTCACCACAGCATTTTCTGCATAAAACAGTTATCATATGAGCATTTCCATATACTACGATTTCTTAAGTGATCTACATTAAAGCAGTGGCCTTTCCTGAAAAACAAAGATAAAACTAATTGCCACTGTCCTCTACTATTTCTTTTGGTTTACTATATAACCACTGTGAAATACTCTAAGTGCATTACCCCATGCTGCCAACACCAAATAAACCGGTCGTGGCTACAGAGGCACCTCCTCACCAGCGGAACGCTCGGGGACGGGGAGTAGGAGGGAGCCAGCCTGGGCACAGCCCCGCTCAGCCCAGCTCCGGGCAGTCCCACGGCGCATCTCGCTCTCCGAGGGCAGGGCAGCTGAGCTCAGGCTCGGGGGGAAAAGATGCCCCAGACAGAACGGCGAGGAAGGCGGTGTGCCCGCGGAGGAGGAGGAGGAGGAACCTGAACTTGTAGGTGTAGCTGATGTACTGGCTATTTTTAATAACACCAGTGCGTTTTAGTTCTGCTAGAGTATCATTTCTGGTATTTTTTCGGTTGTGTTAAATAGACCTGAGGGATACGTCCCCTCTCTTAGCACTACCCTGAATCCAAAAGTTTAAAAAAATCATCACAGTGAACCATATATGACTAGTGTATTTAAGGCTGTACGGTCCGTCCGGCTCCTGTTTCTCTGAGCCATCTAACGCTCCTGCTTCAGGGAGCCATGCAGCGATAGGCACGCGCAGCACTGGCTGGAGCAGCATCAGTGAAAGATTAGCAAGGAATTAATAATGAAAGCAGTTCCTGAACTTCAATATGCCAAGAAGACAGCTATTTTTAAAATGTCTAGACAGAGAGCACCATCTGACTACTTAGGGCTGGCTCTCAGCAAATGAAAAGAAGGGGGGTTCTCGTGGGTTTCAAGTTATCTTCACTTTCGACAAACACTCCTCTTGCAGGAATTTGAGCTGCAGAACAGACGACGCAGGTGCAGAAGACAGACAGCAGTGTCTTTGGTCTTAGTGGTATCCTTTTCCTTAATTAAATCACGGATCAAGCCGGTTCTTTAATTTAAAGTTAACCAAGAGTGTCATCTCCCTTCGAGTGCTCTAAGTCAGCAATAACTTTCTGGAAACCAAACAGGGCGAACCGGATCAGATGGCTCCTGCAGAAGGCTGCTGGCCAGATCAGCGCAGAAGGCAGCCTCTGACTGGGTAGGGTTACACATTTGAAATCCGGATACTCTGACATGTGGAAATATTTTTCTTCTCCAGGTGGGGTCTCCCTTTGTTGCCTTAGGCAAAAAAATACAATTACAGGATTGGGTGTCAAGGCAGAGTTTCCTAGATCCCAGGGATGGACAAGCCAAGTGCCACGATGCGGTGAACAAGCCGCAACACGCATCCCGCTGCTGCACGGCCTTTATTTCACAGCTACTTGTCTGACTTCGACTGATGTGAGCAACCCTAAGTGGAGCAAGAGGAAATCACTGTATAAAGAGCAAACAAGGCTGTAAAACATGCACAGCCTTCTCTCTGCAGGCGGAAAAATAAATGCACCTTTCAAATGTGAAGAACGTGCAGGGGATTGTTCTGTGTGTAAGCTCAGCCACAGCTCGGTATAAATACCGCAAGCTGTATTTGGAGAGGTGCAGGTGCAGTTCCATCTAACTTGGCTCACACCCGTCAAGAGTTCGGAAGCTACAGGCTTTTATAGAAATTATTTTGTACTACAGAAGAGCGTACAATTCTGTTTTAGTTAACGGGATCTGAATGGCTCACAGGAATGCTCCGTCATCATTTTAAGAGATGACAATTGAGTAGAAAATTACAGGCGAGAAACGTAACATAGCCGAGCTCTCCGGAAGAACTCGAGATGGCTTGAACCCCTTTCTGCACTGCTGGAAGTGGAAAACACAGATGAGGCAGTGAGCAAAGCGACCTACAGTCCCGTGAGCAGCAGCGTACCGGTCTCTGCAGGAACAGACCCAGCTGGATGCAGACGCTGTTGCCGTCTACCACCCCCGACAGCTGGGCACCTGCGAGCGGTGCTGCTGGGCGAGAGGGACCGCAGGAGGGAGGCTGCGCAGCCCGCACCCCCCGGGACACGCAAGCTGTCTGGGGCAGAGCGGGCCCCGCAGAAAGTGCATTTAACTGGAGAAATCGAGATACGCTCCCCACCACCAGCGCTGTTCTGGATTATCTAAATTCTTGCTCTGTATCAGGCACAGGAGGAATCTGATCAGATCTCTCACTCCGGACACATTCTTAAACCATTCCACTTTTAGAGAAGGAGGACAGAAATTTTAGTCAAGCCTATTACCTTTTTTCTCAGCTTTCTAACATTTCAGCGTGAATCTAGCTGGAACATACACATACACTACAAAAAACCTGCCCAATTCAAAGTTTTCACAGATTCACATTCATTATTCTTCATTTTTGCATCTGACTGAAACTACTGAGCAAACATAACCTGCACCCACTCGCAGAATCACAGAATGGCTGGGGTTGGAAGGGACCTCTGTGGGTCATCTAGTCCAACCTCCAAGCTGGACCACAGTGCCAGTCGGCTGCAAACAGCATTTTCAGAAAGCCGGTCCGTACAAGTGGAATTACCCTGCTCTCTTGCTAAGCCCAGGCAGAACTATCGAGCAGAGCCGAGGCCACCGAGGTCTCTTCCAGACAGGCAAAGGCGGGCAGCCCGCTGCAGCAGAAGCTGGCAGTCCCCACGGGCTAGCTAGCCACGAGGCAAGGACTACCTGCTGGCAGCAGCTAGCCCAAACGGTCAGCCCGTGGGCAAGAGGAAAGGGAAAGGGAAAGCTCTCTCCAGGTCTCCTCTTCTGCTGGATGGAGTGCCACCATCCCCGCCAACAGCAGCTCTGGGACCTCTGAGGGCACCAGAGCACTGGCCTAAAGGAGATGCAGCTCAGCCTCCGTTCCTACCAGCCAGAACAGTTACAAAGCAACATCTGTCGCTGTAATTGAGATGAAGTGCCCAGAAATACCTGAATTATCTTTTCATGGCCAGAGGAGGAGGCTGTGAAGTTTAGCATCTTAAGAACCTTACAAAACCAAGTTAAGTTTCATGGAAATAAATCCTTGTGGACCATTACTGCCGAACAAAAGCTGCTTGAACTCTGTTACTTTCATTTGAATTGAGAACAAAAGCCACCTGCAATGGAGGCAATCTCTAAGGTCTGCACCAGGCGAGGTCTGCTAGAAGCATTACCTGACCACTAGGGCTGGGCATTCATTCTGCTGATCTCAACTCCCAGATTTGTTCCCAGATTGTTCCAAAACATCTCTTTTGTCAGCACTTTGCCTACGTTATGTCAGAGAGTGCGATCACGGAAACCTTCCCAGTGTCTATTCTGAATTTCTCTGAATTAATCTGATTTCTACTCACAGTTCTTTGGCATAAGAAAGATGGGCAACCAGCAAGCCACAGGCCGGACCGTCTGACCACTCCCCTGGCAGCAACAGCAGCCTCTGCACTACCAGACCAAAGCTACGCACAGCTACTACACTGCAAAAGCAAGGCCACGTCCGAGTTGGTTTCCACTGAGTGGTTTTCTCTGTCACAGAAACCAGGCGTGGTTTTCAAAAATAAAAGTTTGAGCTGCCCCGTCCCAACGCCCCTACAGCTTTTCTGCGCAGCCCCCGCCTGCCCAT